CCATCATCAAATATACGAGACTTACGGCTAATTATAGACAAATACTAGTGGTTCTGTCAAAGGGTGTCCCTCATTCAAATATATGAGACTTACGGCTAATTATAGACAAATACTAGTGGTTCTGTCAAAGGGTGTCCATCATTCAAATATATGAGACTTACGGCTAATTATAGACAAATATCTAGTGGTTCTGTCAAAGGGTGTCCCTCATTCAAACATGAGACTTACGGCTAATTATAGACAAATACCTAGTGGTTCTGTCAAAGGGTGTCCATCATTCAAATATATGAGACTTACGGCTAATTATAGCCAAAATAAATTGAAATTTCATAAAACTATTGTGCAGCTTTGGTTATAGCAATTCAATTTGACCGCATTTTATTTTGATCAAATGTCAGAATTTTATACTTGCCAAGTCGTATGAATTGCACCACTGCCAATAACCACTGAAAGAATAGAGAATGTCATGTACCACAGATATCTAAATGTAATAATAACAACCTTTATTGATATCGTATCCCTTCTGGGATCTAGATTAGAATACAATAAGGATATAAGGAACAATAAAATACATAAGTAATAATAATAATAAAAAAGAAATAAATAGTAATACTGTGAAAATATTATTATATAAATATTTTTTTGGTGTTATTTTGAGGCAGCTGGTAAATTGCTTTTCATGAAATTCTCTCTTTTATTGAAACAGTCGCTGATAAACTTGGCAATTTCTTGGACGGTTTCAGAATTTTTGTTATTGAGAAGTGCTTTCAGATTACCGGATAAGTTTACGTTTTCAAACAAAGCATCTCTTTCAAATTTGTACTGGTTACAATTGAAGAGGAAGTGTTCTTCATCTTCAATTTCATTGGAGTCACAGACAGGGCATGTTCTATTTAAGACATCTATGTTGTGATATCGCCCAACTTCAATCTGAAGTATGTGGGCACTTATCCTCAGTTTAGTCATAGATGATCTGTGGATGGGGTATAAATAAAAAAAAAAAAATGTATATATATATATATATGTATATATAAAAAAAGTCACGAACTTGCAAATAATACTTTACCAAATGTCCATAGTCGATGAAAACGCGAGGGTCTTCATGAAATTTACTGTATTGCCCATAAGAACTATTGACAAAGACATGAGAGCTTGAAAAAAATCGATCGACGTTTGAAGCACATAGAGTTAACAGAGATAAAAATGTCATTCAGTCTGTGTTAATACGTACAACCTACTATAGATGAAATAATGTTGATAAATACAATACAAATATTTCACTATGATATTACAACATTGTTTTGTTAGATCAACAAAAGAAATAACAGTAATCATAAAGCATATTTTTGACGGGCAGAGACGAGGGCTACACCTTCCAAAGACTGAGCACATGAGAGCGAGTTTTCATCTTGCTTGGGCGCACCTTTCCCTGAACCTATACTACCTCGTTCTTGGTGGTCTGGCTATGGGATGAGATCACCGCCAAAATAAAATTATTATTTCAATATCTTTCAATTATTTCACCATTTTTTCAATATCGATTAAAACAATTGTGAAATAATGGTGAAATAATTTAAAGATATTGAAATAATTCTATTTTGGCGATGATCTCACCCCAAACGTATCTGGGCAGAGTGTACTTTTTATTCATTTGTGAACAGTGCAAATCGGTTGATGTCAGAAAACGTGAATTAATTTTTACCCAGGAATTATCGTGTCGCCGTCTGGGTAATGTAACCGATGTTTCGTGTTCATGTTCCCGAATCTTTCCCCGCAATATGTTTGTCGAGGGGTGAACGAACTGTTCGCCGTTTGGACCCCCTCTAATGGTGATTATCCATTACAAATACTATTCATATTCAGTTATTAATTTTACTTTACCCGTATTTAAATAAATCTACGTCGTGCATTATCGAACATACTATGGTTTCATTGCGAGGACAACACCTTGTACGGTCGCGTTTTTCTGTGGATTTTTTTGATAAACATCTGACTAATTAATACCTTCAAGTTCGACATTCATGATGAAAAAAAGTATTATATAAAGTAGGCTCGGTTCTGCAACATTACTACTTGTAACTTATATGCTGCCCTCAGCGGCAGTATTCGGACAGTCACTCATGTGAAAGCGCCACATCGAAGGCTGGGTAAAAAGTGACTATCAAACAAGTCACTAGAGATATTTTTATTATTTAAAACTTTTCTGAATTTTCATGACGAAACGAACCACCAAGTTCGTGACGACATTGCTGTTCACGCATCACTGATGTGATTTATCACCATGTTTACTTGGTAGTTCCCACGAGCCAATACAATAGTAATAATAAAGAGTAATATTATTATCAAGTATGAATAAAAAAATGTGCTCGACGAAGAAACGGTTAGTGACATGTTGAGTTTTGGTGTTTTTATACTCAAATTACCGCCGTGGGGGCAAAATTGTGTCACAATGTATTGTCCATGTGTCTAAGATTTGGCCATCTTTACGTGGTTATATTTAAACACACTGTTAATACAACTCTAAACGATTATTGATTGAGCGTATTGAGAAATTGCATTACAGGTTTACTGTTATCGTGATACGAGTATGAAAGACGAAGCAGTCAGTTTATTTTTTTCACGCGACATTCATTAATACGATGTATTATACGCCAATTACTGCGGGTACTTTAATATATAGCAACTTACAACGTTGCCATGGTTGTCATGGAAACATTATACTTAGTAAATAAGGTCTGCATCTTAAACACTTCGAGGTTCACTTTGCAATGTAATGTGGTAAATCGAGTTTCTTAATAATGTACCACGATATGTTATTCGAAGAGCAGTTGTGCTGTCGGTAAATTTAAATATCTATTCAATACTTTGGTGCAAAATGACATGTTTTATGGTATGCGGTTTACCTTGTTGCCAATGCTTTCAGACATTTTTTTGGGTGGCAACAACAAAATACCCATATTTTTCTTTGACAACTAAGTCTACCGAGATGTCGCTAATTCCAAATTTTCACATTCAGATTCATAGGGAAACGAATCTCTGACGGAACAGACATGTAAACAAGGAAGCGAATTAGATATTTGTGACGTGGTTTGGCAAATTTCCACATATTTTTTCATTGCTCATATTTTTGCGGCAATGTTTCATGAGTTTATATACGCCGATTGAATTTCTTAATCCACACAAAAAATCCGTTCATCCGCACAGGTGCACCACAGGGGGCAATGAAATTAATTATTTGTTTTAATGGTTTTACACCACAATTAGACCAAGTATCAAAACTCGGGGTCATGTGATACGAATACGAATGTAACAGTTTGGGCACTTCACTTATATATATGCTTCTATATATACGGCATTGCCGTCTTTGGGGAGTTCAATTGTAGTATGAAAAATTTAAAGTGTCTACATCTCTCAACCATTTTCGCCAGTGTTAAAAATACGTGTTTTATTTTTCACCAGAATGTAAAAATGAAAATTATGAAGTTTCTGACAATGTTTAGTGATTGCACTCAGGGTATTGGATAAACATTATTAACGGTTGTCAGGGAGAGTGTGAGACATGAGTGAAAAATTTGCAAATAAGGATTTTGTAATTTTGTATTCAGAATTTAACGTTGCATGAACGACCCAGTAAACGATACCAATCTGCATAGTT